CTCGAGGTGGAACTCGAACCGTGTCAGGTAAGCGTCCCAGTCCTCGGTGATAGGTTCGAATGCCTCGAACTTCTGACTATTGGCCATGCTGACAGGCGCTTCCCCCAGATCTGGCGGTGCCTGCTGCTGATCGGCCACGGCGCGATGCCCGCTGTTTGCGAAGTTGCAGGGTCTTGCAGCCTTACGCAATGCCGCTACATACTCGGCCACTGACTCGGCCACTTTCAACTTCTCTGTAAGGTCCTTGAACGGAACCGTCTTGATGTCCGCTGGTGCTACCAGCGACCGGGCAATGTCAAAAACGCTCTTGCCGCAAGAGCTCTTGCCGCTCTTGCCGCAAGAACCGTGTCAGGTAAGCGTCCCAGTCCTCGGTGGTAGGTTCTAATGCCTCGAACTTCTGACTATTGGCCATGCTGACAGGCGCTTCCACCAGATCTGGCGGTGCCTGCTGCTGATCGGCCACGGCGCGATGCCCGCTGTTGTCCGTCGTGGGATTGTTTAGCGGGGCTGCCTACCCGCACTAATATCCCATCCTCATCACCAATTGTTAAGTCGCTCGCTTAACAAAGTAGTCGGAGAGTGATTCAGCAAAGATTCAGCTTTATCAACTCAAACACAACTCCAACACGGATCAACATCTGATAGCCAGAACAGCTTTTACATTGCAGCTGTTCTGCTTTTAAACTCTCCCGGCTAATGTAGCCACGCCTACTGTACAACTACCAACCAATAAGGTTGCATACATAAGGACCAATCACGGACATTCCCGCTCAGGGAGCTTGTTGGTAGTGATTGGTTAGGTGCTTCCTGGGCTAGCAATGTGATTGGATGTATTTGGATCCTAGCCCAGGACGAAGCTTAACATAGCATTTCAATTAGATGTTTTCATAACACATTATGCATTCAATGGCAGCTTATTGAATACATTACAGAAACAGTACACCTGAACCAGTGCAAGAGCCCTCTGTGATGACCGATGTCTCCCCTTAAGTGGGAAGAGACTGCCCCACTCCAGGACCACTAAGAAGGAGGATTCACAATAAGTGAGGCCAGTCTTCCATTCTCCAGTGGTTCAGAGTAGGGCAGTCTGCAAACTGCAGCTCGCAAGCCGCATGTGGCTCTTGGAACCCTCTGTTGTGGCTCCTAAGCCTTGCCAAAAAAAAATACCCATGTCCTCCCCCCACACTTTGCAAGCAGCCATGTGGGGAGATGGGGTGGGGGGGAAGCCAGCAACTGTGCAAGGCTGCCAGCCTCGGGGCGGCTGGGCAGCTGGGTGCCCTTCCTGGGGCCTCATGCCACTCATTTTCTTCCCCTGTGAGGCTTGCCTTGAGCAGCCATGTGGGGAGATCGGGTGGGGGGAGGCCGGCATCCATGCAGGATTGCCAACCTCAGGGTGCCTGGGTGGATGGTCACCCTTCCTGAGGCCTCATGCTGCTGTTTGTTTCCCGCTCTCAGCCATCATGCAGGTCCAGGCGGGGGAGGTAGCAGAGCAGGGACCAGAGGATGCCTGCCTGCCAGTTGGTGGAGAGGATGGAGGTTGGGGAGGAGAGCTGGGCAAGAAGGGAGGTGGGGGGAAGTTAGGGAGGGAGCCCTGGGCTGGCAATGTGGCAGGCTGGCCTCTGTTGCCAGAGCCATCAGGAGTGAGTGGCTAGCTTTCTCCTGCGGTTTAAACTGGGCTGCAGGAGAAAGTGAACCCCAGGAGCTGCATGGAGCACGTTGTTCCAGCGGCACAGAAGATCCTGGGGCTCACTTTCTCCTGAAGTCAATGAGGGAGGGGGGGCTTTCTCTCTTATTCTCTTTTTGTCTCTCTTTCACTTTGTTGAGGTGTATGAGAGCTGGAAGCAAGGAGAGGCTGGGAAGCTGCTGCCCCCCACACACTTCAGGCTGCATCCCTTGCAGCCTGACTTTCCTTTCTTTCTTCTTTCTGTCTTTCACTTCTCTCTCCCATCTATTTGCTTTCTTTTTATCCCTCCCTCCCTCCCTCCCTCCCTCCCTCCCTTTATTTTTTTCTTTCTTTCTTTCTTTCTTTCTTTCCTCTCTCCCCATCTGTTACGATCTGTGTAGGCCTCTAGAGATCTGTGCAGGACTGGGCCTAGTGAGGCCTAAGAGACCTGCCTGGGAGTGGGAAGCAGACAGCCTACAATCCCCACAATGCTTTGCACCAGCTGTGACCAATGGGGATCCAGGAATTCTCTGAGGGGATTTTTTATATACTTGGTGGTCAGTTAAACTGTGGTTCTTTTCCTCTCTGTGGTCTTTGCCTCTCACAGAGCTAAGCTGAGGAGACTGGTCTAAGAGAAAGATCCCTCACTGGGGACAGTGAGTACAGGAGATAGAAGCCTGGCTTAAGAGAGCTGTAGGGCTTGAGTAGTAACAGTTAAGGAGTAATAGGCAGCTGCGTTAGCTTTGTGTTTCTTTTGGCCTTTCAACACTGTTATGTATTTTAAAGTCCCTTGTCTTGTCTTGTTTTTCCCCTGCCCAGTACTGTAATAATAAACCCTTTTTGTTTCACCGTTTCTCTGCCGGGTTATCACACTTACGTTCTCGGCTACAAAGGGGCAATTTGAAGGGGCTTGGAAAGGTACCCTGGGCCTTCTCAAGGGACCTCCATCCAGGGTGGCGGCGGCAGAAGGTGACAACCGGCTGGGGTCATGACACCATCTATTTTCTTTCTTTCCATCTCTCCCCTCCCTCCCTCCTTCTTTCTTTCTTCTCTCCCCAATGAAAAAAAACAGTGTTATAGTTGCTCAAGAATCTTTCCATTTTTAATAGCCATATCAGGAGATTCAGTTCATTAGACCCTCTGACACTTGAGTCAGTTTTGAATGACTGCCCTGAAGCTGCCAGATAGCAATTTGTCCTTCCTTCCTTCCTTCCTTCCTTCCTTCCTGCCTGCCTGCCTGCCTGCCTGCCTGCCTGCCTGCCTCCCATCTATTTGCTGTTCCCCCACTTCTCTCCTCCCTCCCTCTCTTCTTAACTAATGTTAGAACAAAACAAAAAGGGGGGGGATAGAAGATTAAAATTCCTGAATAAGAGTTTGAGAGTTCAAAACTCAGATTTACAGGGTAAAATTAACAGAGAAAAGTCCATCTGTATGAGGTTGAATAGATAACAGTATGATCACAGCAAATGTTTTTAAAATAATTTTATTAATTTTTTCAAACGACCCCCTCAATTACAAAAAAGAAAAAAAACCCAAAACATTACAAAACATAGGAACAAGATTACAAAAAAAAAGAAACACAAAATACAAAAAGAGGGCTATGTTGAATCAGATTATTGACAAGGGGGACTTTGGGGGTCAGCCAGGAGCCTTTGGGGGTGATGCCTAGCAAGGATGTGACATCACTTTATGATGTCATGTCCTGTGATGTAACTTCCAGGTCAACAGTCAGGTGATGTCACTTCCTAAGCCCCACCCCTTCTGATGATGTCACATCCTGCACTGAAACCTAACCCCTTCCTGTGATGTCACTTTCAGACCACTCCCTCAAACCTGCTTCTTCCTCCAAAGTCCACTTGCAGCTCTCGAGCATCTGACATTTAGTCTATGTGGCTCTTACATGAGGCAAGTTTGGCCACCCAATCTAAACAGTGCCATTCCTTTTCCTGGGGATGTTTAGGATTAGGGCAGAATGAAGGAAGGATCAGTTCCTCCGACCTATGAAAGGAAGTATTAACCTTTGGGACAAAAACTGGATTGGGGCGCAGAAGCACCCTATCATTGTGAAAAATCCACTATCTACGGAGAGCTTCTTTGCTGCTACAACGCTTATCTCTAAGTATTGCAGGTGGGGATGCTGATGTCTGGTTTTCTTGGGGACCGTGAGAGAGTGTTTCGTTCCCAGCTTCAGCGCTTAACGGCCGAAGCTCTATCTTCCGCACGCGGGAGGGTGGCTAATTGGCCAGGGCAGTGGGGGGTGCATACGAATTCCCTATATCCTATTATGCCCATGGTAATTCTTAACAGTGCCTATGTTAATGCATCTATAGCTCTTCAATAAAGTATTACCTTTCCTGAGAAGCGTGTACTATGTTGTTGGCTGTGGGTTCTGACAGGTGCATGCTCAGAAAGACCCACTTGGGCCTCCACTGGAGAAATTTCCTGGGTTTTCTTGGATGGGGGGAGGGGATGAGACCCTCCTGTTTCCTTGAAAAGAAAAAGTCCCTTCACCTTATCGGGACTCAGGAGCTCAACTGGAGGAAGGCACTGCAGACGACAAGCAGCTGTGTGGTGCACCCGACCAGGCTCCGAAAGGCGTCTGAGAAGTTGTTCCCTCTTGGCCTTCCCTACTCACGAGTAGGAGCCAAAGGTGAGTGGGTCTCCCTGATGGGATTCCCCACCCAAGCCTTTTAAAAAGGCAGTAGTCTCCCAGCCCCTAAACCGCTGCCCAAGATTGGGGGGGATGGGGACTGACAGCCAAACAATAAAAAAGCAAAAAAGGGAAAGAAAACTAGGAAATGGTAAGCTAGTTCTCAGGTGATTTTTCCATCCAGACACTGACCAGACTCATATCTTCTCAGCTTCAGTTATATTCTGTGCCTGCTAACGACACCTTGGGACTAAGGTTTTGCTCCATGCACCTTTGCCAGCCCCATGCTGCTACTGTACGGCAGCGTACCTGTAGCCTTGGGAAAAACAGGTTTTCTTAAGGAAAAATCTACTCTGGCCAGAAACAGCACACGGCTGTTATATTGCCTACTCCTGAGTCTTACATACACACGTGTCAAAGTCTCCCCCCCCCCCCAAAAACACACACACACAAATCCAAACAACAACTCTGTGCAAAGAATAAGTTAATCAACTGTCCTTTATGTTTCCCTGAACTGTTAATCTAAGTTGAGTCCATTTCAAAAATTTACTACTTAGAAATGCGGTCAACCATTTAAAATTTTTATCGTATAAATGTATATGAAAGTAGGTCAATGAAAATGGATTTACACACCACAGACACATCAGAGGATTAAAATTTAAAACAAAGATGGGGGGGGGGACTGACCTGCTTCTTTGGGTGTTTGTTTAGCAGGGCTAAAAATAAGATGTAACATCTGGAACAATCTGCCAAAGCTGAGCAGCAATCATTGAAGGAAGAAAGTTTGCTATATATTAAAAAAAAGAAATACACATGAGTAGAAGAACTTTTCTTGTCCAGGTTCCCTCTGCTCAAGCTAAATATTTCTCCTCCCAATTTTTAAACAAGTTCAGTTCACATACCGAAATGCTAATATTCTCTATTCTAGTGCAATTCTGTATAGATATGAATTATGAAAAAGAATGACAGTAGTCTTAGCCCAGGGTACCCAGTCTCACTAGAGCTTGGAAGCTAAGCAGGGTTAGCCCTGGTTAGTACTTGGATGGGAGACCACCAAGGAAGTGCTGGGTTGCTATGAAGAGGAAGGCGATGGCAAACCACCTCTGCTCCTCTCTTGCCTTGTAAACCATATGATGTGACAGAAACCGTAAGGCAAGAGCACCACTTAGAGTCTTCAGGATCTTGGACCCCTGGGGGGGTTACATTAGAATGACCCATTCACTTCCATTCCACACTGGATCATCCTGGCAGACTTAATCCCTTTTGAATAAAGGACAATCCAGTTTGGACCAGACCACCTATTTGCCCTGGAAGTTCAGAGCCATTACCAGATGTTTGATGGAGGTGGGACTGTATTTTATACATCTCTGATAAATACTTGATAACAGTAGCCTCTCCCATCAGAAATGGGGCTCTGTGTGCCATTCACTACATCAGCTTGTCATTCTTATAGAGACTTCAGTCCAATTTCATTGACCATAACGATTAGGACATTTGAAAATTTCCCTTCTCTTCAGTTTTCAGTGGCAACTGAGTTCACAAAAGGTTGGGTAAAGGTGAAGGTCCCCTCCACCTTCTTGTTGCTGCAAGGAACTCTGCAAATGCTCTGAGGAATCTGCTACAGTCTAGGTGATGTGTGTTTAGCTTAGTTCATTCAACCGTACTGCTTTTTATTTAAACATCTCTGTGCAGTGTTTTTGGGTGCCCTTTCCCTGTATTTTGTTTTGCCCCTTCCCCCCCTTTTTAAAAAAAACTCCATCATTTTCCTCCCCCCCCCTCCTTTTATAATAAACCTTTTCATAAAGACTTTTTTTTTTTTTTGGCTTTGCTTGCTAAAATGTATTTTTCTGGGACATTTCTCTGAGCCTCTTCCCTGCATGCTAGATGGCATGGGTGATATATAGTCAATTATAAGGCATTTTCTAGGGTTTCTACCCTGACACTTTGTTATTGTACCTTCTCAGCAGATCAATCTAGATGTTCTCAGGAGGTCCTCAGTGGTGGCGGCTGCTTACCAGAGTGTATTCCAGGGAACCTTTGGCCTACGGGAGTCTCCCAGCAAGGAAAGATACCATTCCTCCCTTCCTACTATAACAGTCACCATAAGTCAATTGTGACTTCATGCCCCTTCCCCTCAAAGAACAATAGTGATCTGTGATGAATGAATACTAATTCAGGGGATAATAGTAATTGAAAGCTGAATCAGTTCTCTCCAAATTACTGGAAGATCCTGAAGCTGAAACTCAAGTACTTTGGCCACCAAATGAGAAGGGAGCGCTCACTGCAGAAGACCCTGATGCTGGGAATGATTGAAGGTAAAAGAAGAAGGGGACGGCAAAGGATGAGATGGTTAGACAGTGTTATCGATGCAACAAACATGAAATTAAGCAAACTCTGGAGGACAGCAGAAGACAGGAGGGCCTGGCGTGATGAGGTCCATGGGGTCGTGAAGAGTCGGACTTGACTGTATGACTGAACGACAACAACAAGGAAACCAGACCTCTTTGAAACCCAACCAAAATTCTGACACAAGGGTTCATCACCGAGAAATCTATAAATACCTTTCACAATTAAAAAATTAAAAAGAAAGAGTTTGGAAGTGAGATCAAAAATTATCTTCCTAAATGCTCTTTTGTATTTAAGACCAGATATGAAAATCGACCAAGTAGTTATGTTGGGTCCCTAAAGTTCAGCTGACCACATTATAACCAGAATAGTTTTGTTGGTCTTCAAAATGGTACCGGACCACCTTAACTTTATTCTGCTACTGCGCACTAACACAGCTACCCACCTGAAACATTCATGTGTGGGACTGTGAGAAGGGAACTAGGAAGAAGGAAGAAGCAGAGGTGAAGGAGAAAGTGGGTGCTGCAGGGAACGGCTTTTAAAGGAAGACAAAAGAAGAAGCAACAATGACTGTGGGAGAAAGGGAATAGGGAGAGCACTTACACATTTTTTAGCTATCTGATGGTTATAAGGATCTGCCTCATACTGTGCCCAGCCTAATCTCATTGATCAAAGGTCTCTCTCTGTTCATTTTATCTGAAATCTTTTTAAAGTTGATGATGCCATGGCACCTTGGACAAAGCGTTTTATCAATAGCCTCCTGCAGAAACCTTTGGAAGATTTTCATACATGGCTCTCATACTTGTTAGTGTCGTTCACCTCTGCATACAGGGATAAACTCATCAGTGATTTGCTTAACAGCTATGGAGGACCAGGAAAAAGTAAGTATTCATTTTGCATTTAGGCTGTTTCCACACGGGGATTGCTACCTACATAGAAAGCAGGAAGCCCCACATTCAAGGGGAACATCAACATGACATTGTGTTCATTCTAAACATGGTTTTTCACTTTAAGCCGGGGGAGGATTAGCCTCATAGGCATAGACTTCGCAGGGGCTCGGGGGCTTGAGCTATCCCCGAAATTTTCCAGCAGGGACTGAGCCCCTTCTGGAGTAACCAGTGCCAGCCCCCCCGGTGGCGGCAGGGGTTTCACTAGTTTCCAAACCCCTCTCCCAATTTGAGAGAATTCGGCGGGGTGGTGGTGATGTCATGCTCTAACCTTTCCTCCTCCTAATTTCGATAGTACCATAGAGTAGGAAGGCTAGAGCGTTGTGTCTGATGGAGAACTCCCTTGTTCCCTCCAGGATGCGCTAGTGCAGATCAGTCCCTCTGGGCTCCTAGCAGTGAGTGGCCCTGCCCTCCAAATGCTTGCTATAAAAGACCCCCCCCCGGCAGTTCTCATTCTGGCCATGGCTGGGGTAGAGGATCACTTGGTCGGGAAGAGTCATTGCTGCATGCCCCTCACTGATGCCACAGGGCAAAGGTAAGATGTCCATCCTCCTGGATGCAGGGGGAAGGTTGCATGCATCCTTCTCCCACTCAGCAACTGGCCAGGCGCCCCATGTCGGTCTGCCAGCCAGCCTGTGGAGCCGTAGGGGTGTGTATGTGTGTGTGAATGAGTGGGGGGGGGGGAGAAAGCATCCTTCTCCACCTCAGCAACTGGCCAGGTGCCCCGGGTGGGTCTGCCAGGCGGCTGGCAGAGAACGTTTGGCTTTGGATGATTTCCTTCCTCTCTGGAATGCCTCATTCTGAAAGTGGCTCTCTCGAGTGCAGAGTCAACCCCTGCTCCAACGGAGGTCATCGGAATGAAACAGAGGGGGATGGAGGAAACCCTCTGACATGTGTTCTCCGAGGGCGCGGAAGGAGCTGGGCTGCATGGGGTGGGAGGGGGGCAGTGGGGTGGGAGCTGGGCTGCATGGGGTGGGAGGGGGCAGTGTGTGCAGAGGCACAAGGAGAGCTGCCAGCTTCTCCTCTTCTTCGCCGGAGGCAGCAGTCCAGGGGTGCCCGGTGCTGCTGGGAAGTAGCCAGGTGCTTCTTGCTGCAGGCTCACCCAGGGCACAAAGTGCTTGAGGAATTCTACCCTCTTTTTTCACCTGCCCAGGGGGGCTTTGGAATGACTGGGAATAAAAATGACCCACACCCCGAGTCGAGGAGCCTCCTGGTGTTTCCCAGCAGAACCTCTACAGCTACATGGGTCTGTCCCAGCCAGCCAGCCTGTTGAGGGGAAGTGTGTGTGTGTGTGGGGGGGGTGAATGAGTGGGGGGGAATCATCCATCTTCGACATGGTCTCTGTGCTTCACACCCATGGGATACGTGCGGCTGTGCTGGATTGATCGGTATTGTAGCAAGCTCTTAACGGATTTTTGCGCCCAGACCACAGGCATGCGCAGGAACCCCACCACGCATGCCCAGAGGGGTGGGCACGGGCATCCCACCCTTTCTTTCCACCGCACTGGAAGCACCTTCCTTTCATCAGTCAGATTGGTAGCTATTTTTCCTCAGAGGCTCTTCGGATTTCTCTTCAGTTTTTCTCTTATTTTTCCACTTTTACCTTTGCTTATTTGTTGTTTTCTTTTTAAAAAAGACTTTGTTTAGTTTGAGGGGGAAGTTTTTCGTTTTACCTCAGTTGGGCCTTCGCCCCCCCACCTCTTTTTCTTCTCCATCTCGTTTATTTTATGGAGAAGACGTGGGGCTTTTTCAAATGTTGTAAGGGATGCAACAGTAAGCTTGCTCCACCTGATGGCCACACCCTTTGCATTTTTTTATCATGGCGAGATGCACCGACCAGAGTCCTGTCGACACTGTGCCAAGTTTTCAAATCAAACCAGGAGGAACTGAGCGGTGCGTCTCAGGGTGGCGTTACTGGAATCAGTGCTAAATCCCGCTTCCGTCATGGATCCAGAAGTACCGGTAAAACCATCGACATCGACAGCTCCGGTATCGAAGTCCTCATCCGACACCGTCCAGTCAACATCAAAGTTTTCGGTACCGACGGCACAGTCTTCAGCGTCCACTCCCGTGAAAAGGAAGGAGAAATCAGGTAAAGGGCGCAAGTCTGCCAAAAAGGGTTCCTCTAAGGCCCTAAAGGCGGCGAAGTCTGGAAGAGTCACGGGTCCTGCACCGGGTAATGCCCCTAAGGTGCCCCCCGCTCCAACAACAGTATTGGCATCAGAGGTTCCAGTCGCTCCACCAATACCGAACATCCAGCTGATGGACTCTCCAATATACCAGCTAGACCATGACACGCTGGTCGATATGCGTCCTTTCTCCGACATCGATAATGTCGAGAGCCTCAGTCATCCCCTGGGCACGGATTGCTCTCCCTCTGCTCAGTCATCAACATCAACGGTCTCAGAGTTCCATGCCAATATTGACCAAGATCAGCATTGACAGATCCCTAAAGGCACTCAACGTCATCGTCCCCGTCTGTTAGGCGAGGATC